AGACTTTTTAGGTCAGCACTAATACCAACGGGAAGAATGTTGGTATGACACCAACAGTTACGAATTGTTTCTGCTGTGATTTCTTCCCATGTACTTATTAAATAAACAATCCATTGTCCAGTTTGGTAATATAAACAATGCCCCGATTCCGAAAAATGGTGACGTTGCGGCCAAAAATAGATGCGGTATCTCCACCGCCATTCTTTTCGCCGGGGACTGTAATTGTTTGTCTTTGGGCTTCGAGCTTGGCGTTGACCATCTTTACGAAAGCAAAAAGTGGGTGTAAACAAAGTTGTGCGTATAAAAACATGTTAACTGGATGTGTATAAAAATATGTGGTAAGTAATTTGGCTACACCCTGACCAACGTAAAATTTTCCAAATCGACAGTTCTTGAATGGGCAGAAATCTTGTTAATGCGAACAACGTAATTACACACGTCCGCCACGCCAGACTGGTGCTTAGCCCTTTAATTTAACGAAGAAAATTAACGGAGGCGCAGCAAAAATACGAGCACATAAGAAATAATTAAACAACTTCGTACCATGCAAATTTCTTGTAATAGTTTTTGTAGAAGCATTAAGTCCAGTCTTTCATTGAATTTTGTTCAGCTGATTTACGGTCATTATTCTTAATGATTTGTTTTTCGTTGATGCTCAAAACTCAAAAGTTTTGGAGCGATGTGATCGCCGTCTCTAAAGTACCCAGATTGCCATAATCAACCGCACCGCTTGCGACAAGATTGCCACAATCGCGGCTGTTTGTCCTCGAACGTTGAAGCCTGCTATATTCCAGTCAAATAGTAGCGCAGGCATTTCTTTTTCTGTCGAAGAACCAAAGTAGTGTTGTGGGAGTCTTTAAGGCAAGCGGGTAACTGGTGCAGAACTAAACTATCAGTTGATGTTTATATAATAATAACTAACAAAACGCTTAATTACCATTTTCGCATACCTACGCCAGATTTTTTGGCTAGTTTCTTAACCTTTTTTTCGTGCACTACATACATCAAGACTAGTTAGAAAAAGTGACAAACCTCATCCAGGAAGGACCAATACACACCTTTGCAGCGTATGAACTGGAGAACTTTTGACGTGCGTAAGCGGGTTGCGTCACAAAATGTTGCTCCATCACCCGATGAGTTCAATAATGCAAATGTCTCATTTGCGCGGTCGGCAATATTTTGATTGGGAGAACCAGTAATATTTCAGCGTCGGCGTTTTCGCCGATTACCAAATTAGCTTCAGCCTTATTACAGTGACCGTTTAATACTAAAGCTACAGTACATGACCTACCGTAGACCGCTGACTAAAATACCCCCCGTGTATAGTACAGTACTCTCAAAATTTTTTACTGGGCGCCCAGTTGAAGTTGACTCTGTCCGTATGCCTTGGACCAGTCAAGATGTCTGTCTTGCACAAACCAGTTATACTCTTCCAAGCAACCTTTAATATCAGCAATGCAAGTATCTTTATTACTGTAAGTCGACTACGAGAGAATCAAGTTGAAAAGGCTTTTGTATATATCCAGTTAATATTTTTTTTGCCCTGCATCTGACGTGGGAAACTTTTTTGAGAAGCTTGCATTAGGAGAATTCACTGATTTAAAATTTACACAGAAATTATTGTTAATTTTTATATTAATATTAGTAAAAGTGATTGAGAAACGCTTGCATTATATATTTAATGTATTTAGGTTCGTATTAGTATAGACTATTAAGAATATAGAAATCGTAGTAGCAGTATCTTGAGGGTTAAATAGTGGGCTGTTTGGAGTCAACTGTCTTGGCGAGATATATTATGGGAATAGAACACGGCCTCATGAATCAAAGCCAGGTTGACTGTCTTTATTTCAATGTCCCCCGAAATGTTAATTAATATGATCTCTACTATTTTTTTAACACTCTCTCACCAGAAAGTATACGGCAGGTGATATTTGTATGTATAATATTTCAGCCTTTGGCTGTAACAATCTCGATTCTTATTGCGTGCAAATGTTTGCAATAAAGCGTAGATTGAAACCTACAAGCATGATCACGTCTTTGTGCGGATTAAGATCCGCAATGAAGCATCTAATCTAGCTGTCATTGTCTGGCCATGTTATCTTTCCAATGATAAAGCTGTTTTGCTGTCTGACTGTCCTAATTAGGCATGACATGCAGGAAGCAAAAATGAGGTGATTTTTAAAATTAGGCATCGGAATAGTTCGTCGCGATGGCATGATCTTTTGTGAAGGGTTACCTATTTCATATGCATGATGCGTCGGTATGACATGCAACCTTTATATAGCAACAAGGATAATTCGAAAATGGCTCGTGTACAAATTAGGTTTGGTTCAAACCAAGTTATGTCATGTCTTCTCATAATAAGAAAGACCACGTCATTTTGCAGTCAGGTAATCGGGCTCAACATATAAAATGACGGACTGGCTGACTGCAAAAGTATGATTCATTAGAAATTTATAACTATTCGTAAAATAATCATGAGCCTTGAAGGTTTCCGTCCCGCGCACCACGCACATATTCTTCAGGCCGTATATCTGGGCCTCGAGATGGATTACAACCAGGACACTGATAGATGTGAATATGCGCTATGTACTCATGATGGTACATACGTTATCGACTATGTAGTAGATTCAATTGATCTCCATCGCACCCAAAGTATGCAAGTCAAAACAGAAATAGTTCTGTCTGTTGTCCTTGATCGCATTACGAGGTATCTTCGATCGAATGGATACAAAATCTCTATAATTGGACTCAGTTCGAAAGTAAATGGAGCAAGCGGTAATCCTGGCTTTGTACTTATCGACCCCAAAGAAATCGCCAGCTCGTTCTGGTTCGATCTCGACGCATTACCGTTTATTATTTCGACGAGGGGGTCGACTGTCGATGAGCGAGCTAGCTCCGCAGCGAGAAAGTCTGTCATATGGTATGGAAGTTTTGATAGGATCGTAACAATTTAAAGCGAAATAATCGAATAACGCTTCCATTGAACTGAACAGGCTATCACCGCAAATACCCGGATCAATCCCAAGAATCTCGGTCGGTTTTCGACACGAAGTCGAGGTTGATCTCAATGGCATGATAAAATTATGTGACCTAGCCGATTACCAGAAAACTGTCAAACCGGAAACTTGGGAAGTGATATCATGTATTGCTCACGAGTTGAGAACGAAGAAGGTCAAGGCGTCATTTTTCAGTGCGACTCCACAGGGAGGAGGAGGTAAATATGGATGTGATATTGTCTTAGTGGCGAATGACGTTGTTTTGCATAAAATAGAGCGATCTGTATTTATATAACTGACTACGTGTAACGGATTAAACAGTTGCTTTGATGCGCCATGCTCTTATACGTCTATGTCGTCTCTTGGGACTTGATATTTCTTGGTACGTGGCCAAGCCCTCACCCGAAATATTTGACATTACAAAACGAAAATTTCACAATGTGCTCCAAGGAGTCGCTCCTGAAGGCTGTGAACTACTTGCTCATGAGATGGAGGCTTTCATAGAATGGTCAGACACCAATGTCAGACGTTACTGGACGGACGAACAAGGGCCCATAAAGACATCGGATGTGATTATAATCGACGATCCACAATGTAAGCATTATGAAGTATGGTTGATAGCAGTCATAATTGACTCGTACTATTATATAACCTCTCTGTTCCATAGTGTGCGGTATTATCCCGCAAATCAAGAAACTCAATCCGTCTTGCAAAGTTATTTATCGCAGTCACATTGAAAGTAAGTTTTACCGATTACTTTTTTTTTACACGTAAAGGAATGTTAAACTCACTTGCGTTACCTATAACTTAACTGACAGTCAGATCAGATTTAATAAAGGAAAACCCAGAAGGACCTCAAGCAATAACGTGGAACTTTCTTTGGCAGTTCATTTCTTTAGCTGATTTGTTTGTCTCGCACCCTATTAAAGGCTTTATACCTGATTGCATACCGCCTCACAAATATGTTCTTATGGGAGCTTCGACCGATGCCCTCGATGGTCTCAACAAAGAAATGAACGATGCTGATATAGAGTATTACCAATTGATATTCAACAGATTGGCTAATGATCAATGTGAGAAAGAGATCGATTTCGCTTGTCCGTACATAATTCAAGTGGCGAGATTTGATCCCAGTAAAGGTATATAAGAGTAACTAATGTATTATTGTCACAATATCGAATATGAGCCTAATGCTTATGTTTGCACGTGTGTATACAGGAATTCCTCATGTCATAGAGTCATTTAGATTATTGCGTGAAAAGTTAGCCGATACAAATTTACGCCTTCCATCATTAATCATATGGTAAGTTTGTCGTAAATAGTGACTATACACGCTCAACGTTCAGATTATACTTACGTCTTTATCTATCAAACAGTGGAACCGGGAGTATTGACGATCCAGATGGGACGGTTGTGTATAAGGAAACGCGAGATTTGATCCAACAACCAAAATACGCTTCGATTGCTGGAGACATAGTCGCGGTACGCCTGCCTGCTTGTGATCAACTATTCAACAGTCTTTTAAGAAAAGCACATGTGGCATTACAATTAAGTACCAGAGAGGGTTTCGAGGTAAAGGTTACCGAAGCCCTTCATAAAGGTGTGTCGACAAAGAAGAATTGTAGTTTTTTATGATAGTAGCGTGTTTCTAACTTTTTGTTTTTTCTGTCCAGGAGTACCGGTCGTTGCATTCAGAGCTGGAGGTGAGCCATAGACCACTTATAATCTTTGGTCGTATTTTATTGTGTTATACGGTTTAATAATTTTAATAATTCAAAAAGGTATTCCGCTCCAAATTCGTGATGGAGAAACTGGATTTTTGGTAGACGTGGCTGACGAAGCGACAGTGGCAGATCGCTTATTCGATCTCTTTACTGACAAGGATTTATACGAACGCATGTCCGCTACTGCCAAGAGAACAGTCTCTGAAGAATTCTTCAACGTCTATCAGACGTTGAATTGGCTCTATATGATTAACCACTTTGCTGACCTTCGTCGCGAAGAGAATTCCTTTACGGGTAGCGAGAAAGTAAGCGTCGGACATGGTAGATGGATTAAAGAATTCTGGCAGGAAGAATATGCAAAAGGCCGATTCCACTTTCCTACTGATGCGAATGGAAATGTTATTACGTACGATGAGAGCATAAGGGTAGGTGATGTACTATAACTTTATATGAGAGGTGTGTTTCTATGTAAATGAAACTGAAGCGATTTCCTATGTATCGCAGGTGACTGATGGGATCCCAACACCTGTTACTCCTACGTCGCCCTCATAACGTGTATGATATGCGAGCTCCCACTGCAATTATTATGCAGGGAGAATGTATTCATTCTTATATCTGTTATTACGTACGAGCATTTGCATAATCTTATTTTCATAATATAAAGACAGAATATGGGGCCTGCTCGTAATAGAGCTTGACTATAGGCCCTGTTTAAATTATTTTAAAATCATATAGACTTTAGCAGCGGCTGAAGGATAAAAATTTTTTTAATTTCAATCCATTGTATAATATTTTGCTTTTGTTTTTTTTTTGTACAAAGTCTTGGCTTCGCGCTGAGGGCGGAAACCTACCCAAGCTTTATTACGCAGCAAAAATAAAAGTAACTCTTTTGAGAAATACCGGGGGTTAGCAACAAGTTACATCGATTTCCAAACAGATACGAAGTTATTTCTTTTTTAAAGAACAAAATGGTTATTAGTTTTCTTGATTATCGACAAAGTCTTCGTCATCCTCATCATCATAATCACTACCGTCAGGCCCAAAAATGTCAGCGTAATCTTCAAGGTCTTCAACGCGGTAAAGTAACTCGGTTGGACGCGAAGCTAATTTAAATTTGAATGAGTTTTAATTTCGTAATAGAACCATCTTGGCATAAAAATAATATGATACCTGTGGCATCTTGCAACTGTTGTTGATTTTGAAGGTTTCGCATCAATTCGACAATCTGCAAAAAGATGTAATAAAATTATCATGCATGAACGTGAGATACTATTGAAAGCAACCCCTCAACCAAAACCAAATTTATGATTAGCGACAATTATTACAACAACTAATTTATTATATGACTAATTTGCTTACCCTGTTCGAAATAGGATCTGCGGGCGTCGTCTCACCTGTTGCAGATGCGTTCTCGTCCTCAACCCCACTCTCATCTGGGATTTCTTCGTTATCCGATGCGTGCCTCTCTAATATGTCCTTAAAACTCTCTTCCGACAAAATCTCATTCTCATCTAACGCCTCGAATTTTCGGCGTAAGATTTTCCTCATTTTTTTCATAGCATTACTTGTATAAAATCCGTTTAGCTCCTGCAAGACAAACAATTGTCATGATCGGATGGCAGTACAGATGAGAACCATAGAAACGATAGCTTACATCGCAAACTTCAACAAAATTTTCGGAAGAACCGATCAAGCGTTGAAGCAGAGGATCAGTTACATCACACAGCTGGAATACTGCCACATCTCGTGTCTTTGTCAATCCGGAGAATATATGCGAATCACGGTCTGTCAACCTACAATGAAGTTCAGAAATCTTAATTAACGATATATCCTTGAAACTAGCGTCTTCTCCGCCGATCTCCATTCCATACGTTACAGTTTCCGGTTGACTATCTGTTCGACTATGTTCCGAAAGAACTGATGGCTGCCCATTTAGCATTCGCTTTGCTCGTTCTAGTCTTAAAGGCCGTCTTGTATTTCGGACGTCAAGAAGTTGATATCTTGATAGATTAAAGGTATATATTAAAAGTCTGCACCAAATGCAATAGCAGGCATGAAGTCAAAGAAAATTTTCTTTTTACATTCGGGATGTTTGATCATTTCGCGGGTCGTATCCATAACGGATCCAACAATCTCGCCACGGACCGCCAACCATCCAATAGGCAACCAACGGTAAAAGCCTATTAAAAAATTACCGTTCTATGAGCGAATTAGCGGTAACCTTGGTTTTTAAATGGAAGACAAAGTAAATAACAATATCCATACTTCCTAATGAGTTTCTTATACGTTTTGGGGAGCGTGTTAAGCAACGCTAGTCTTGTCCATACTGGACGTTCCTCAAACATCTAGCGACACTCAATTTATCAGAATACCGAACGCACAAGCAAGTTGAGCTAATATGATACAACATATACCTTCTTCAACTTCTCTATAGGCTCTTTGGGCAGTAATTCCACATAATTTAAAACCTCAGGAGGGGGACCTTCTGGGATAAGTGTGCATGTTAAGATAACATACGTAAGCGCCATAAAAGCAGAAATATTAGATGTATCCAAGGATATTTTCTGATTCAAATGATACCGTCAAGGCGATGAATTTTCTTCTCCAATGTCGATTTATGAGTCTGACTGACGGCACCTTTCAGTGCAATTTACATTAGCACAAACTATGAGTTGGTCATAATACAACACAATAGCTACATTCATCGCTTACATTCGTCTCGTTAGGACGTATCATGACTTTAATGACCGAGACATTCTGTTGGTATCTTCAATACAAGAAAAAAAAATTAAGATTGATTAACGCAATCACATTGACAGTAACTTGCTTGTCGGTCTTACTTATATTCCATCGGAATCTCGATTCTTGCCAGTGATGGTGGTGGTAAGAGTGTTGGCTTTGTATAGTCCTCGGATTGTTGGAAGGTAAACTTGCGCATACCTTCCACTGTAACAGAGTTGACTCGGCTTTAACAATGCACGTAATAAATAATCAGTTCGAGTACAGCAATCTTACCGTCGAATTTCCCAAGCTGTCTCCGTAAGTTTGGTATCGAATCGTACGGATTAGGAACGTATTGAGCATCGGACATTCCTGAGTAAATGTTCAAAATTACAACTATAAATAATATTATATTCGTATGCTCTTAACCATATACGCATTCTTTTTTTGTATTGATCAAATCAATTTCTTCAAAAGTGTAAAATGTGCTTTTTGCACAATGCACATCTTCTGCTCCGGTCATTGCGATCTCACGTAATTACAATCTCTATCTGAGTGCTCTTTGCCAATGAAAATTATTTACTGTAGCAAAGTCTGCGGATTTCCAATACCAATGCATATAAATCAATACAAAAATCTATGCCAATTACCTCGTCACAATCCTTACCTCTAAATCGACATGTCTTATTTATTATTCCAACAACTTCAAAAGTAAAATTCTGGTTCGTGTTCTTTATTTTGCTAGTAGCGTTTCCCTCCTGTTTTCCGGAAGATTTTTTTCGTCGTCTCGTCACTTTGAGCAAGAAATTGGCGGTGGGAACAACATCCCCGTTAATAGGATGACAAAATGGATCATTATGTCTGTACCGTAATTCCGCTAGACCTTTGTTGACAGCCTTGAAAATGCAGAAATTATGACAGTCATTTAGGACGACTATGTTGAGGCCGTGAGATCCGAAAATTATATTCTCATTTCAAGAGAAACTAGCCTTAATAACTCGCTTGATAAAGTAAAAACTCATAGGCTTTTGCCCTCTTTATATACTATCACTCACCGGTTGACTTTCATACCTTCAAAAGTCCTCTTTTCTCTCCGAGCGTGCTGATGACCTTGTGTACATTCTTTATATAGCCCGGATACTCTACAGCAAAAAGCCGCTGCCTCGGTAGTAGATAAACGGATGGTCTTTCATACAGATCAACGCTTTCCTCCAACTGGTCGCCTTCTGAGATAATGTTTTCCGTCATAATGATTTCTGATGTTTTGCTGCTAATTGTTTCATTCTTTTGCGAAAATATGATCTAATCCTGATCTAAGCCACTGAGAATCACATGTACGATTGACGAGAATCAGATCAACCTGACGTAGCATCTAAGCCACCCGTATGACTAACGCCGTATAAACAATTTCTCTTGTACACTTCAATTATTTACTCCCTTTTGTTTTTCTCTCGACTTCCTCTTGTACTTATAATCTTAAATGTCAGCTGTAAGGCCTCTTAACGTAAAAGATGCTCTCTCATATCTCGACCAGGTCAAGCTTCAGTTTTCGGAACAGCCGGAAGTTTATAATCAGTTCTTGGACATTATGAAAGACTTTAAAAGTCAAGCTATAGACACCCCGGGTGTCATTGACAGAGTTTCAAATTTATTCAAAGGGCACCCATCACTTATACAGGGATTCAATACATTTTTGCCACCCGGCTATCGTATTGATACAAATCCTCACGAGCCAAACACTATACGTGTTACTACTCCTTCGGGCACCACAAGCACGTCTACAGGAGCTCCCGTAGACGTTCATCCGTCTCAGACGGCTCAAATGAGTGCGGTTCCTAACTCTACGAACTCGGCATATTATCCGTCTAATTTCCCTACCTCTTTGATGACTCCGTCTATCCAACCACCACCTCCGAATACAACCATTCAACAACAAATGGCTACACCATACCATATGTCAAACACACAACAAACCGCCAGTCACAATGTAAACAATAATTCGCAGAATCATCAACAGGGAAAAAGAGCTCCCGTTGAGTTCAATCATGCAATCAACTATGTGAATAAGATAAAGGTGGGTGTTCAGAATGTTGAAGATGGTAGATTAAGGAATTATTTATAAAAAATGTTGTGATTTCGTCAGTCCTGTATAGTCTTCCGGCCACATAGCGACCAAACATTCTCTATAAATGGCTGTTAGAAGTGAAAGAAAGAACAACAATAATCGAGTAGTAAACTCGACTGTTATGTTTCAATTCTTTATGTTGAATGAACTGTGTCGTAGAGCCTGATATCGACCAATAACTTTTGGTATTAGAACCGTTTTTCAACTGAACCAGATACCTATAAGCAATTTCTTGAAATTTTACAGACATACCAGAAAGAACAGAAGCCAATCCTAGACGTAAGTGTCAGATTTTAGTTCGTTGAACGACGGGTGATCCAATTGCTTGCCTGAAAATTAAATTATTTATTGACAGGTTTATGCACAAGTACAAGTGTTGTTCAAGAGTGCGCCGGACCTGCTTGATGAATTCAAACAATTTCTCCCTGATACGTCTGGTAATACACCGTCTGGTGGCTTATTTGCACCTCCGGCTCAAACACATCCATCTGCACAAAAATCGTCACATCATATGCCTGTGGTTGCTCCATTGCCAAATGGGATTCCAAATAGTAAGTTTGTCCTAATACGTCGTCTGCCATAATCAAGAAATAAATTCAATAATACAATGCTCTCCCGCAAGCAGGAATGGGGGCGCGACTACCACCGGTTGGTAACTTTGGTTCATCTACGTCTGGTGGTGCCACTGAATCGTTCAAGAAGCCTACGGGACAGAACGGAGGTGCATCGACTCCGAATGTTCTCTCTGGGGCACCAAGCCCTATCGGAAATTCCAGCATGGGAAAGAAGAAACGAGGCGTCAACGTTGCTGACAGAAGTCCGTCCGCATCAGTATCTAAGGTTATTACCGACGTGTTAGAAAGTAGTAGCTTTTATCCACAATATACTAAAATGTTCTTTGATAGCTAAAGAAATCAAAGACAATCCATAAATCTTCAGATGCCCACAGCCCCACACTTGCACCTGTACGATCAGAACCTCCGCGTCCTCCAAAACAGCCTGCATCACCAGACGAACTATTGTTCTTCGAGAAAGTTAAGAAATATCTCAGTGCGAAAGCATTTCAAGAGTTTCTTAAAGTCATCAATCTCTACAGCCAACGCATATTGGACACAAATCTTGTGGTAGACCGTGTGAGAGCTTTCTTAGGACAGAACCAGGATCTATTTGAGTGGTTCAAGCTTTTCGTCAAGTATGATGATAAGGATGAATTTGTGCAGAACACTGCATTTCCCCGACCACGTGTAGATTTGGAGGGTGCGCGTGCTGTGGGGCCTAGTTACAGACAATTGCCCAAATCCGTAAGTACACTAATATTTATCGCGTTTACATGTAGCATGCTGATGGTCAATTAACTTCGGGTACTCGCAAATATATTAGGAATCGCAATTACAATGTTCAGGACGTGATGAAATGTGTTGGGAGGTTTTGAATGATGAATGGGTCTCGCACCCAACATGGGCAAGTGAGGAAGCCGGTTTTGTGGCGCATAAGAAAAACCAATATGAAGAAGCACTGCATAAATGCGAAGAAGAAAGGTTAGTTGGAATCTATTCTGGTGTGATAAGTATAAGTTTTCTGTAACTTACAATTATTATGACAAATAGATATGAGTATGATATGTTCATAGAGGCAAACCTTCATACCATAGCAATTCTTGAGCCAATATGCAAGAAGATTTCAAAAATGTCACCGGAAGACAAATCCAGATACAAGCTTGAACCGGGTTTTGCTGGAAAATCTATGATATATCAACGCGTTATTAAGAAAGTTTACGATGGTGACAGGGCTGGAGAAGTTCTGGAACAACTACATAATAACCCTTCAAATGCAGTTCCAGTTATACTTCGTCGGCTCAAACAAAAAGATGAAGAATGGAAAAGAGCACAGGTAAAAAAGCCACTTGACTAGATGGGGGAATGTCATTTTGATTAAAACAGTTCGTATTCAACTCTAAAACCTTCATCCACTTACATAGCGTGATTGGAACAAAATATGGCGGGAGATTGACTCAAAGAACTATTACAAGTCTCTTGATCATCAAGGCATAACTTTCAAAACTGATGACAAACGTGCTCTTAATACAAAAGCACTTGTGGCTGAAATAGAGGCTTTACGCCGGGAACCTCGAGAGGGTCCAGATGTAAACGAATATCAATTCAAATTCTATTTAAAAGATCAATCAATATTCAAAGACTGTGTACGCGTTCTGTTCAGTTACCTCGATCGCTCAGGTTCTGTGACTCCAGCTGACAGAGATCGTCTTGAGGCGTTCTTTAAGACATTTGTATCGAGTTTCTTTGATTTACCGTCAACATTATTTGATGGACTCCAACGAGAGGACGTAGAAATGATGGTTGATAATGATGAAGTGTCTGAATACAGACCTATGGACATCCTCTCCAATGAATCGCTTTCTGCTGAGCATGTCGATGGAATGTGGATTCAGATGTCGAAAGAGTCAAAAGAGGATATCCGAGCTGTGGTTAACAAGGCAGGGCATGGGAAACCAGGCAGAAAATCTACCGTATTTTTCTGTAATTCAAATTTTTACTGCTTCTTCAGACTATTTCAGGTGAATAGACGTCTGGATATGATTTTACCGATACCAGATATTTGTTGTCAAACTAACGTCTGCGTTGATTTAGATTTTATATAGCCGTCTCGAGCATATGAAAGAAGGTGCCACCGACAGGGGACAGAATGTCAGCCCGCTTAATAAGAGCCACAATGTCGCTGCAAGCGAGTTAGATGTTCTGAATCCTCGGCTTGACTGTAAGGATTTGCCACTGTTGTCATATATTCGTCATTTTGTGTTCCAATCTAACTTTTCAGCGCGTCATTTCCAGCTGACCTTGATATGGATACGAATGGTGACCCGTATACTGTGCTTCTGGACCTTATCGATAGACTTTTTGATAATGAGTTAGAAAATACGGCGTTCGAAGACTACGCGCGATATATCTATGGAACAAAAGCATATCTTATGTTCACTATTGACCGATTGGTCTTGAATTTGACGAGAGTGGTAATGGCCTGACTGTAATACAAAAGAATATTGTATTATTTTTTACTGTCAAATGTGTTAACGTTTCCGTCTTACAGCTTCAGGGAATCCTTGCCGATAGTAAGACAGCCACCTTGCTAAATTACTTCGAGAAAAATAGGCTGCCGGGTGATCCATCGAACGTTCGCCCAATAATAATGTATCAGCTGAATGCAAATTCAGCAATCGGATATGACGAACATACATTCCGCCTAGATTTTGTAAGTTCATAATGTTATTCCGTTACATATTTGTGCCAATATTTTACTGACTATTCAATGACCAGGAGAAAGAAGAGAAATCTTTGTCAATACTGCTAACTGGCAGAGATCATTATACGAGAGACGCAGTAACATCGGAAGAGAAATGGGCTTATTATATGTACAGCTACATGTCCTTAAATCCAACAGAGGGCGTCTCAACGAAAGTAGATCGCCCATTCCTCAAGAGGTATTGATATTGTACACTTTGCTGGCTTGGATTTGTACGTTGTTAACTTTATCTCCTGTTTCAGGAATTTACCGGCAATCGAGCATAAGGATCCTGTATTGACTAATGTATCCTCAAAAAATGGGCTCGAAATTAAGATATGCATCAATTCGTATCATGTCTTCTTTGTCAATGATACAGAAGACGGGTTTCAGCGTTTGGTGCCTGCATTCCCGATGTCAAAGATACGCGAGGACTTTGCTAAACGGAAAGATAAGTTTGATCAATACTTCAGAGTAGAGTGTGACCGGTTAGGTGTAATCAACTATTAAATTATATAACCATACATCGTCAACAAAAACTTGTAATTCGCTACATATCTTAATAAAATTGTTATGAGTGGAACCTCGGCTGTAAATGTCAAAATTTAATCCTAACCCGTACATGCTGATGTTATCAACCGGACATCAATTTCAGATCTTGAACTCTTGTTTCCACGTAAATATGAGATTTCAAACGAACTTGCTGCATGGTCAACTGCCAAAACTAATCATCCAACATGAACGCTAAACGCTGTCTGAAAACAGACCGGAAGTAGAGGAAAGATAATTATTATAACAGTCAATAAGGAACGATAATAGATAAAAG